ACTTGATTAGGACTGTCCATGTGGCTCCATTTCTTTACATTGCTGGGATGTTACAACAAATGCAAAGGTATGAATAAACAAGATGCTTTTTTTTTTTCTTTCAGAGATTTCAGTACCGCTGATTCCTACCATGCTTTGAAAAACTCAGCAGTTTGTACAAGGAAATTATAGTAAAACTTTTAAGGTATGTGTAATGATAAACATGATGTGGAAAAATGAAATGTTGAGGAAAAAACTACTCTGCACAGTGTTTTGTTGAAATCTAAAGAAACACACTGAAGATTATAGTCAAGATTTCCTAGATATGGCACACTATATTCATTATCTGAAGATAACAATAAATATTAAACTCATCGATGTAGATGAATAAAATTAAAATAGAATTGTAGCTGATGACTCATTTTTTTTCAAGTACAACTATAGATATTGACTGTAGGCTACATGATTTGTGAGGCATATATTATTTATCACCTATGTATTTGTTTGATGAGTATTAACCAGGCCCCACCTTGATGCCAGACATAGTACTGGACCCTGGAGTTCTGGGTAAACAACAGAAAAAAAGAGTTCAATATTTAATATAATAAATAAAATGATTAGAGAGTTGGTGGTAAGCATGATGGAACTGAGCAGAATATTGCATAGGACAATAGAGGAGGCAGTTTAAGTCAAATGAACAGTATTACTAGAAAAAAGACAACCAGGGAGGGGGACATAGAACAGTATGCAATAACAAAGCGGTTGGAAGATCATAATTACTTGTGCTTGTGTAGTGGTTCCAACAAGGTGATTTTGTACTTTAGCACCCTTTGACGCTGTCTGTAGATATTGTTGGTTGTAACGAAGGAGGAAGTACTACTGACATCTAGTGGAGAGAGTATGGGAAAGTGGTTTTATGATCTGAAATGCACAGGACAGCTTCCACAGCCACGAGTTTCTGTTCCAAAGTGTTCAGAGTTTTGAAGTTGGAAAGCCCTAGGCTACTGTGATAGCAGTAAAGTTACAGAGAAGTAGATTAAAGACATGGCTTAGAACCTAACCCAGTAACATATGAAAATCAACTGCATAGCAACGGGAAACTGCAAGGGCAAATCAAGAGTGACCTCCAAATCTCCAGTTTTGATAGCTGGATGGATGGCTGTACTCGCATTGAAATGAAGATGAGATGCTGTGCTGTTTGCAAGTGGTGGCTAAAGCTGCCTGTGAGAATTGGCAGTTGATGAAGAGGATTTGAGCAGAGAAAAAGATTTGGAACCTTGGCTTAAACCATGTTTAACATCATAAAAACACATGACATCACTTTGTATTAAAAAAGAAGAAGAAAGATGTAGCCAAAAATATGGGGCTTTCATCCTAAGGCAATGACACATTCCTAGGAAGCTCCAAAAACCACTTGATGTTTTGCAGTGAGTGCCCTGGCTAATATTGTAAGTACCTTCAAGTGCACTCACCCCATTTAGAAAACATAGTTATAGTATTTAGCTCCTTAATTTACTGTAAGATTTTTTTTTGCACCTAGTCATCATGGATCCGCATTTAAGTAATGTCCCCAACCTTCCCAGGAAGCACAATACTGTGTTCATATGGTGATGCTTTGTTATCAGCCACGGTGTCTGATTCAAAGCATAAGACTGAGATTTGAGAATGGGAGAGGATGCACTCCACTGAACACTTGATTCTTAGGAGGACACTGTGACCACCATGACCATTTTGGGATCAAAAATATAACTAGATTCGTGGATTCACAGAATCCATTACTTCTGAAAAGCACAGAACAAATTAGCAGCAGCTGACAGCCACTCATGAGGAACTCAGCACCACAAGACTGCGTGCATGACTAGCAGAGAGAAGCATTTTAACAAGGAGATAAGTTTCTGTGTTGAGCTTTACAGTATCCTACAGGTGATACTGAAAGGTAACATAAGTGAGCCATGTATTCTTTAAGAATCCTGCAGAATCCAATTTCTCTCTAACAATGAGAAGGAAAAATTCACTCATACCTTAAAGGTTGCATGCTTGAAAAGTAGTAAAATTTACTTAAATAGTGTTTGGACACAGAGAACAGTTACTATTATCATACTATTAATTAGGCCAATTTTCTTAACTTATTTTTCAGCAGACAAAAATGTCTTGGTCATCTTCCTCTGGGACTGTTTACACTAAAAAAAAATGTAATGTAGGTATGGAGTCCTTGAGTCAAAATGTAACTAGCAGAAAAGAAATCATATACCGAGTAATAAAGGTTGTGGGAAATAATTTACTATATGTGTCTTAGTGTTTCAATGGTCCTTTTGTATTATTATTACTTTCTTGTTATAAGTGTTTCAATGGTCCTTTTGTATTATTATTACTTTCTTGTTATATATAAGAATATTATAGCTTGGAGCGTGTACTAGTCAGACAGATTAGGGTGTGCTGAGTAACAAGAATACAGAATGAGCCGGGCGGTGGTGGCGCACGCCTTTAATCCCAGCACTCGGGAGGCAGAGGCAGGCGGATCTTTGTGAGTTCGAGGCCAGCCTGGGCTACCAAGTGAGTTCCAGGAAAAGGCGCAAAGCTACACAGAGAAACCCTGTCTCGAAAAACCAAAAAAAAAAAAAAAAAAAGAATACAGAATGAGAACCTAAAGTTGTCACTGCTTTACATGTTTGCTGTCCGTGTGATTATCCAGAACAATTTTCCCACAAGAGATGACTGTGGCATCGATGTCACTTCCATCTAGATCTTTAGAAGTTTGGTTTTCTGGCTTTTTTTCAAATGGATACTAGAACACAGGAGGACCAAGTGGGAATACTCTTTCCCCGTAAGTGTAGCATAATACTGCCGCACATATTCCCTTGACTATCATTACAGGATTCTTCTAAAAGAAAAGGTATAGTCTGTAAAAGCCAAGGTAAGGAGAAGTCTAGACATGAGTAAGCACACACAAGCTGCTAGTGAGAGTTTTTTTTTTTAAAAAAAGAAATTATCAAATTTGAAGGAAAAATAAAAACTAGAATATGCTAGAACCTAGACCAAAGCAGGTGCTCAGAAGCCAACTAAATTCTCGACCTTGCATTCCCAAGACTTGTCACACATCACACCCACTATTCCTTGGATTTGGATACCCAAGAAAAGATAAATGACTCGATATGCTTAATAAAAATCTCAAGTTTAAAAATAAGTTGATAGCTTTTTTTAAATTATTGCTTTAAGAAATATTTACTAGTCGTTCATTTAAAGATCAATAAATTAACAACCCTTTACAAACTCCTAAATGAGGTCAGGTTCCTTCTTTTGTTTGTACCTACAGTATGTTTTTCTAACATTGATGTTTTTTAATGTTGGAGAGAGAACCCAGAGCTTTATGTCTACCAAGTAGGAACTCTACCACTGAGCTGTATCAACAGAACTCACATTTCTTTAAAGGTTATGTGCTTCCTGCTAGCAGCAACTATATTCCTGCTGTGTGTTCATGGCTGGGCACAATGTTTCACAGGAAGTAGGTCCTCAAAAGGTTCATTTCATGAGTGGATAGATGGATGAATGGATGGGTGGATGGATGAGTGGATGGATGGGTGGATGGATAGATGGGTGGATGGATGGATGGATGGATGGATGGATGGATGGATGGATGGATGGATGGATGTAGAGTATGGCTGTCTCCTGAGACAGATCATATCATTGTATGATTTGATCTGGTTTTAGAAATGATCTAAAATAAGTTGACGTTGATTTTTCTTCTCCAATTTCCATCTACTATTTTTACTTTTGCATTTCTTCTCCTTTAGCCAACACTAAGAAAGTCCCCTCTCTTCAATACAAGAAATTGAAGTTTCTGCAAATAGCTACCTATGTCCTTGATCCTTTTCATTAGTAAGGTGAACCCCAAATGATTTTCTTATCCGAGTATATGGTCTATTTCCTCAACTCTGATCCACAAAAATTGAGAACTACACACATGCAATGTGACCTACTAGCTTCCAGCAGTGACACTACAGCATCCCTGGAAGAGACAGTGTGTTTTTCTCATGATGGGTTCTTTGACAAACATAGTCTCTGCCACCAGGTACAAACTACCCAATATGCATTTGTGGAGTAAATGAATTGTAAGATACTGCATTTATAATTTTTCACATTCTAGGCTCATATAACTATGGGTGTTTCTTTTATGAATTAACTCAATTTAGATCAACTTTCCAAATCCCTACTTGGGGGAGGGGGAAGCACCTTGAGGTGCTCATACAGAACCAGCAAACATTTATATGGAACATTCTCCCAGAAAGCTCAAAGGAAATTAAGCCAACAGGAGCAAATGCTGATTTCCCCAGGGAAGTGTCCTTGTCCTTCTACAGAGAAATGGTCTCTAAACCTACATTGTTAGAATAGCCTATTTCCAGTGTTCAAATGTGACAGCCAAAAGAAATTAAGAAAAGCAGCGTGCCTGAAACTGCCTCGTTCTCAGTCCTGCGCTTGTAAATGGAAGCAATTTTCAAGACATTATATCGGGTCCAGATAGGAAGAGTCGCTACAATCTTAAAAGACTGAAGGGTACCCATTTCTCCTTCTTCCTCCTTTCCCTGTCTCTTCATTCTTGTTAGAGTTAAAAATAAAAACTCTGATAATTTCTTAAATCTCTCCTTCGGAGGATGTGATTTCCTATCACGTGCTAGTCATCTCTGAGACCCCCGCAGAGGCGCCTGGGGATAAGGCTGTCATTCACGGAGAGCAGAACTCCCTCTGCCTAGGGACTAATGGGTTAGATTTAATCTGTCATGGGGATGCAAGACTCAATGTACTTTCCAGCACCACAGCGCAAAGTTGAAGAGTGACCGCATGTGTCCGTGCGTGGTGTAAGTGTGTGTGTGTGTGTGTGTGTGTGTGTGTGTGTGTGTGTGTGTGTGTGTGTGTGTGTGGTGTGTCCGCAGGCGCGTGCGCATATGCACGCGGTTGTGTGAGTGTGTCTGGCTGGGTTAGTAGGGTTGGCCGGGGCGGGCAGTAAATAAAGGGTGGGGCCAAGAGGGGAGGAGGGAAGCAGGACGGAGAAAGAAGCCAAAGCAGGGCTTGTATCCCAGTTAACCTGCTGGAGCTCATCCTGCTTGTTCTGAGCGCTGCACCAACTCACCCAGTTCCCTCTCTCCTTGGATGTCTTCTTCCCCCCTTTCTCTCCTTTTCTCACTGCACCCTGCATTCTCTACCCACTCCCCCACCCATCATTTCTGCATCTGACCAGAGGACGAATGAGGGAGACGTTCCAGCAAATCGAGGTAGCAACTTTCCTCAGCTGGTTTCTGAGCTCCAAGAGCGGGTTCCTGCTGATTCTTGGAGGTATGCAGCCCATGGAGGAGGAGGAGGGAGAGCAGTGATGGGCTAAGGACCGGTGCGGTGCACGAAGCCCCAAGCAGCTCAGTCTCACAAGCCCGCTCCACGTCCCCACGCGGGTTCCCTCCATCTCGCTCTCCTGAGAGCAGAGAGCGCGCGGCGTGCAGCCTGAGAGCATCCAGGGAGGATGAGGTGGGGACCCAGCCCAAGTTGGGTGCATCTCGCGGGCGTGAGGCCACGACTGTGTCTCGGCATGAATTAAGAAGCTTGGAAGATGGAGCGCGGCACAGTCCTCATCCAGCCCGGGCTCTGGACCAGGGACACCAGCTGGACACTCCTCTATTTCCTGTGCTACATCCTCCCTCAGACCGCCCCGCAAGTGCTCAGGATCGGTGAGTGAGCCCGTGGAAGCGCTCTACGCTGTCGGATCCAGGGGTCCTTATAGCTCCCCGTGGCCGGCGAGGGCGCAGCGGGTCCGGGCAAGGTAGCGCGCGCGCGCTGGCACTGGTGAGGGGACAGGAGCTGCGGGGTGGTGGGGATCAGTGTGCACCCAAAGCTCCACAACAAAGTGGGAGTCGCGTCACTGCTTCCCTCCTGGCAGGTGCCAGGCTTTCCCGGAATGTATGGTTGGCGGGTTTTTCAATCTGAGATCCAAGATTCTGAGCGGAGTGCTCAGATCCAGGCTCCATTGGGCTGGCTCCTACTCTGGGCATCAAATTGCGCGCACCTTTGACCACCTGAATTGAGTGATTGAGGGGGTGATGTGAGATCTCTCTTCCAGATGCCTAAGTGGAAGTCCATCAGTCTGCCAGTCCGGGTTACACTCAAGCATGTCAGAACCTTTAAGAATAGAATCACTCACCCACTAGCATCATGGGAGTATAGCAAAGCCCGTTAGCTCAGAGCCTCTAAGTTTTTATCTCTAAATTGGATGTTTCTGTATGGAGTCTGGGAAGTCTGGAGGTGTCCACTGGAGAGAGTCTGAGAGTGTGAGGAGCTGGAAGGATGGTCATTGAACACTAAAGTTTCTCTTCCCAATCTTACCCACCTGCCAGCCACTCACCAGCATCTAATCCCCAAGCCAGATAACTTCCTGGGAGAGGTGAGGCTTAGATCTCCAAAGAGATTAAAAAGAGACTACAGGAGGGAACTACTTGGGTTTCACAAAAGAACAAACAGTCAGCATCACTACCAGAAAGGCCCGCGTGGACTCATGTACCTGCATGCAGAGCCCTCACTACCAGGATTTGGTCGGTAGAGGTCTGGGCTTTGAGCACTGACTCTCAACTTTTCCTTTCCAACTAATATGGGTTCTCTACGTCAGTTTTCAGAGTGCCTTCTTAGTTCTTGTTCTTATTAGTGATGATCACAGGGAGAGCCATAGGTGAAATGTGGACAGCCGACACGTGTCTGTCAGCTTCTCCCATCTCTCACATAGCAAAGAAAAGAAGAAACCCTAGGTTTCTAACCCATACTCTTTTTAGGAATTGACTGAGTGTGAGGACAGCTTGCGAAAGAGTTCAAAGAGTTCATAGCGAGGCTCCTGAGGAGTTCATGTCCCTCAGTGACTACACTAGTACTGCTCTTCAGCGAGTGAGCTCCTTATAAAAACTCAATCTTCTGCTTGCTTATTTGCTTGTGTCACTGAGTATGATGGACTCCCCCGTCCCCTGCAAATAAGCTTACTGCTTGAAGGGTATTTTCTTTAGACACACGAAGTTTAGTTTTTAAGGAAAGGAAAAATTCCAAATACTAACTTTACATGTTTTGTCTAGACTATGGAGGAAAATATGCGTTTATTCTATCTTTAGACCCTATAGTGGTAGATTTCCAAACATATTTTAAAAGAATCGTGATTGATTATAACTGAAACAATCTTTGCCCAAGACATATTCAAGCCTGGACTTTGGATGCAATCAAAGATGCTTAATTTAGTAGAACAATAATGAATAGAATACAAAGTAATGAAAATGTGTAATGATTTCCAGTGATTATTAACTCAATTGGTGTTTTGCTTTGTGGTGAGTTGCACATTTTGAAAATGGCATCCCCGTGTTAGAAATGGCTCTGCCAAGTCCTAAACAATCACAATCAACCATTTGAAAGTTGTTTTCAAAAATGAAAGCAACCAGCATCATTCACTGACCTTATGATTCACACCTCGAAATAATCAAAGTTCATTCCTTTAAATGTGAGCTAGGATGCATGAAGCAACATTGCACGTACTGATGTTTATATGCAGCACACATTTCCCTTCTGTGACCCTGTGTGACCTGTTGTTGGCCTGGGCACTAACACTCTCTATGTAAGAACCCACACATAGCTTTTAAGTGAAAAATTCAGCACCATGGAAACCAGCTTTATTGCGGAGGAAAACCTGCCTTTTACAGCTGCTTTCTTATCAGTCAATCCCAATGTTGAATGTAAAATATCAGAAGAATAGGGGAAGTAGACAACACTCTGTGAGGGGAAATAAAATTGTGTTTGTTTTCTTCTCTTGCTCTCTTCCTAACCAACTACCAAGTGCCCAGTCAACCAACAAATGGGAACTCTGGATTTTCAACTTGCATTGTTCCTCAATAACTTGAAATATCTTGAAGTAAAGTTCAAGATAAACAATAGACACTTTTAATTGCCTGTATATGGAGAAACAAATGCCGTCGATGCGTAGCTTTGTTGGAGTACCTGCTTAAACTTTAGCTACTGAGAAAAGTGTAAATTTAGGATAAAATTCACACACATACATACACACACTATCTTAGAAGTTACTGAAATGAACGCATGGCAGGCTCTAGCATGTATGTACTGTGAATATGCCTTGGAATACCATTGTATGGTTAGTAATCTTATGTAAAACTGAAAAAATCCCAAAGGGGATCCTATAGAGTGTAGTACCCTAATTATCACTATCCCATTTTCACAGCATCTTACAGAGGAGGAACATAGAGTAACTGGGAAATCTGTGCACTTGCTGGAGTAATTTCAGCCTTTTTGTGTATGCCAACATACATCAGGAAGCAGTTAGCTATCATATACATTTAAGTTGACCTGTGAGCCCCACCATCATAGACATCCTCTAAAATACCCAAATTTAGTGCATTGTCATTAGTGGGGAAATACCCCGCATGTGCATACATAAAGCAGAAGTGCCATTTCTATTAGGAACAGAAAGATGTATTTACTAATACATTTAGCCCATCATTTCAGCACACAGCATAAACATGACAGGAAAGTATATGATTAAGGGTGGCCAAGCGTCCTGAAACAGCACCTGGTGGAATAAGTGTAGGCTTGGACCCCACCCCATCTCTTGCTGGGTGTGTGTCTCAGTGAGAGTTAGCCAATCTCAGCAGGCTTTTGTAATTGTATCTGAGAAATCAAATTAAAACTAATGGGAGCCTCAGAGTCCCATTAATAAAATTAATAGAAACAGAACATGAAATGGAATATGAGAGGTCCTTAAGGAGTAACTGGGTATCATTCATGTTATTGCTGTTGTGTGCTTTCAACTTTTTTATTATTGATATTTTCTTTATGATCATGGATTTAAAATTTAATGTGCTCTGTTTTTCTAAAACATTTAGTACTTCCGAGTCTAAACCCCACACTTGGAACTCTTGGTATTGGCATCTGATCTTCCTACTTCACACAGGGTAGTCAAATACCAGTTATGCAGATTACAAAAAAGCAATTACCTCACAAGCACACCATGTGGTTAAATATCCCATATAAAGAAAGAAATTGGCATATGTATATGAGTATGTAGAAATCTATGGTCGGTATATAATTCTTCAGGTTCCTGTATTCCTTTTAAGAGGCCCAAATCATTTTATGTCAATTGTTTACTTTCTCTGAAGTGTCATTTTGAAAAGACCTTAACACAACTATACTCAAAGTTCCCACTTGGTTTGTATTGTGTGTGCTTTTGCTTCAGTGAAGTTCAGCATAAACACCAAATATTTTAAATTGCCCTTATTTGGAGGAGGCATTCAAATAGTGGAAAAAAACCTGTCTCTATTCTTTAATCTCTTGATTCTTTTATTGAGTTAATATTCTTCATCCAATACATATCTAACAAATTATTTTCTAGTATGATACACACATAATTGCCAGTGCAATAAATACAACAGTAAACAAAAAGGGTAGAATTAGTATCCCTTGAAGCTTACATTGTGGTAATTAAAAAATCTATTATTATTTAAATTTTTTTCAAATGCTTACTATTTTTCAAATATAATTTTGGATAATTTTCAGTTCATATACTGCAACTGATTTACTTTAATTTGCAGACAAGAAGGGTCACATTAAGGCCCACAAATGCATAGAGTGTATGCAGTTTATGTTGCCAAACCTGGAAAGGGAGGCTAGAGGTTAACGAAGAACTGATCCTGTCTTAAAAGATCTGCTTGGCTTAGACAGATTCACACTTGGAGAGGCACTGGACTTTGGGAAGCCTGTTGGCCCTCACACTAAGTTGAAATCCCCAGCTAGCCCTCAAAAGAATTGTGAAGGTCTGTATCAGTTTAAAAAACAATATAGTTCCTCACTGGTCATAACACTCTCCCAAAATCAACAGATCATTTGCCTTACAATTCTCTCAATATCATTTGCTTTTAAGGCCAGTATTGATTTTGCAAGCCTGATGTTTATACCATGTACCTCTCAACTTTAGTTTCTTTTCTATGATTTGTGATCTCTGATTTTCATTGAGAAAAAGTGTGGTTTGGTGACTTTGACTAAGTTATACTGCTAAATGTTAGAAATGTGGGAATGGCATTTAGTTTTAAGTATCTTGCATTAAACTCCGGTGTACTGTGTATGGATCTATGTATGCTCTTGCACATCTGCATATATCACGCTGCAATCAAATATAGGAGAAGTAGACTGTTCCTTTTCATTGTTTGGAGATGTCTGACAATGAATATGGCTTATATTTGATGTTGCTAGCAGCAAGGAAACATGTTCCCTTTAGGAAACATTCCACAAATGTAATCTGGTTGGAAAGGAAATGTGACATCTATACCTAGAAAACATTGCTTTAGCTTGTTGCAACGCTCATGGCAGTGGTTCTGAAGGACAGTAATGGAGACAGTAGTAGCAGACCCACAGCATTCCTCATTTTCCATCTTCTTTATTACCCATATCATAAAGAGAATATTATCCATGTCCTGAAGGTTTGTAAAAATCTATTTGCATCAGAAGACAGAGTGATGAAGAAATCCAAGTAGAAGGAGAGTCATAGATCTGTTATTTTACCACTGATCTAACACCAGAAGATCAATTACAGACATGTGGATTTGATGTGAAGGTGAATTGTGGTAATACCTGTAAAGTACATATGACATAGAACTCAATAAAGACCCTTCCACACTTTCTCTGTTATGGAGCAAGA